AGTTGTAGTTCACCGTTCGATTCCGGGGAGCGGGGTGAGCTTCCGCTGTCAGCCCTAGCTTCTGCCAACCTAGCAGTTCGAAAACATGCAAATGTGAGTAGATCAATAGGTACCACTCCGGCGGGAAGGTAACGGCGCTCCATGCAGTCATGCCGGCCACATGACCTTGGAGGTGTCTACGGACAACGCTGGCTCTTCGGCTTAGATATGGAGATGAGCACCACACCCCAGAGTCAGACATGACTGGACTTAATGTCAGGGGACTACCTTTACCTTACCTTGGGACAAAGAACTCCCATGACCAACAGAAAACACTGGAAGGGTTTTCTGGGCATTGGCCTTGAGTTTGGGAGTTGTAGTCCACCTATATCCAGAGGAGCACTGTGGATTCATGCAATGATGGATCTGGACCAAACTTGGCACGAATACTCAGTATGCCCAAATGTGAACACTGGTGGAGTCTGGGGAAAATAGACCTTGACATTTGGGAGTTGTAGTTGTTGGGATTTATAGTTCACCTACAATCAAAGAGCATTCTGAACTCGACCAACAATAGAATTGGGTCAAACTTCCCACACAGAATCCCAATGACCACCAGAAAATTCTATGTTTTCTGATGGTCTTTGGCGATCCCTTTGACACCCCCTCACGACCCCCTCAGGGGTCCCGACCCCCAGGTTGAGAAACACTACTCTAAGAAGGTTAACTACTGTGGGAATTGAGAGGAAGGAGGCTTTGGGGGTGATCCAACACTTATCTCATGATGCCAGTGACAAGGTCTTTCTCCAGGGGCAAAACAAACCAACTGCCCAATGGTTTTTCTGGATGTCCCAAAAAAGCAATGCACTGCACCATAATTTGTGTGACACTGCAGCAGTAAAACGGAACGGCTGCTCTTTTAATGCAGTCACAGCAAAAAAGGACTTTTCTGAACAAGGACTCTTGCTTTTAATCAAGATGCAATGGAAAATGTGCCTTGATTTGAAGCCAAGCCATGCTCTTAGAAGTGCAATTTGGCTTCAAAGTGCGCTGCGCATTCCCTACATGCCTTGGGTTGAAGAGGAAGCCCTTGTAAAACAGTGTGACTGGGCCACTGGATGCTGGTCCTTGGCAGGTTTTCAGGATTTACAGCCACACAATATAAATAGGGTACCAATCACTAGCACACTGGGAGGAAATTATCAGTCCTGAACATCACATACCTTGAACTATACTAATTTAAAGGATTTTAAAGCTTTCACTGCTGTAACCAGGAGGGTAGGCAATTTTTCTGCTGGGGGAAAGGGCTGACAGCCATGGACTGGTAATGGTCAAGTCCTAATGGAAAGGCAGGGAGGGACATCCACACTCCCTGCTCTTCATTCACCCGTCATGCAGTTATCTTTTCCCATTCATTCATGCGTGCATGCCTTCCACTCATTCACATTCTCCCTCTTACACACACACACTCTGCGTCATCCGTCATATGAAGGAGACAGAACACAACAACCTTCCAATTTTCTGAGGCCATTTACGCCAATGAAATATTTCATGACATTCTCTTTATTCATCTCTTTTTACTGAGTACTATTTAATTGTACATTCATTGTTTTAATGTTTTTTCCACCGCCACACTATCCTGAGCATTATCAGCTATGTCTGATTTTAGAGACTGAGAACTGAGAGTGTTTAGATGGGAAACTACTAGCAATCTCTACATAAGTTTAGGGAATAATCTATCTGAAAAGAACTTCTGGAAAGTTGTAGGTTTTTTTAGGCTATATGGCCATGTTCTAGAGGCATTCTCTCCTGACGTTTTGCCTGCATCTATGGCAAGCATCCTCAGAGGTAGTGAGGTCTGTTGGAACTAGGAAAATGGGTTTATATATCTGTGGAATGACCAGGGTGGGACAAAGAACTCTTGTCTGTTGGAGCTAGGTGTGAATGTTTAAAAAACTCTAAAATTACAGCAAAACAACAGGGGGTAAACAATCAGGCACATCTAATCACTTCTCAACAAAAGATTGCCCCAGGCACTGCCAGGCCATCAATTATTTATTTATTTAGAAGTTTTCTATACCGGCCTTCTCACCTCAACGAGGGACTCAGGTCGGTTTACAGCATATAAGAAAGTACAATAATATATAAGTAAAACAAAGTGCAAAGTCATTACATATTAAAATAGTACACTAAAGTACAATAAAACATCATCATCACAATTACCTAAGCCAAGTCGTCAATCCAGTCATAGTCATAGTCATACTTGTAGTCACAGTTCATCACAGTTCAGCACCAGGAAGGGAGTTATAGGTTCAGTCCTCAAATGCCACATTCCAGAGCCAGGTCTTTAGTAGTTTCCTGAACGTCAGGAGGGAGGGGGTAGATCTGATCTCTAGTGGGAGGGAGTTTCAAAGCCGGGGGGCCACCACCGAGAAGGCCCTGTCCCTCGTCCCCACCAACCGTGATTGCGAGGGTGGTGGGACTGAGAGCAGCCCCCCCCCCCCGGAAGATTTTAATAGCCTTGATGGTTCATAGGGGAGAATCCATTCGGACAGGTAAACTGGGCCGGAATCAAATGCTAATCAAGGTGGTCAGCTGAAACATTCACACCCAGCTCCAGCAGACAAGAGTCCTTTTTCCCACCCTCGTTATTCCACAGATATATAAACCCATTTTCCTAGTTCCAACAGACCTCACTATCTCTGAGGATGCTTGCCATAGATGCAGGCGAAACGTCAGGAGAAAATGCCTCTAGAACATGGCCATATAGCCCAAAAAAACCTACAACAACCCAGTGATTCAGGCCATGAAAGCCTTTGACAACTTCTGGAAAGTCACTGTTGATAATACTATATACTACCCAAAATGTTTCTCTGACTTGTGACAATCAATGTAAACACAAACGATTTCAAACAACTACATTTAATAATTTTTTTCTAGTAGGATTTTTCATTACTGTCTTCACCTGTTATATATGCAGTGCCATTACTCACCTGTATTCTGTTTAAAACGAGCTGTTACAATTCAAGACACAACTGAAGACCTATCTCTTCTGGCAGGCCTACCCAGTCAATTTAAAATATATTGCATTACAGTCCTTGCAGTATGCATTTTACTATATGCATTTTGTTGTGGTGTATTTAAATGTATGTATTTTATGGTGGGCCCCCAGTGGCGCAGTGGGTTAACACCACTGAGCTGCTGGACTCGCTGCCCGAAAAGTAGGCAGTCCGAATCCAGGGAGTGGGGCAAGTTCCCATTGTTAGCTCCATCTTCTACCAACCTAGCAGTTTGAAAACATGCAAATGTGAGATCAATAGGTACCACTTCTATGGGAAGGTGACAGCGCTTGTTCTGGGACAGCCGCACCAGGAGCTCCAGCTTATCTTGCTATTTGTTGATTGCTGCATGTATTTTAAAGTTCTATGCCTTTGCAGTTAGATGGCTTTCCTTAGTTTGCATTTATTGGATCTATGACCTGTCAATTATCGTTAGGTTCCCTGGCCCCGCCCCCTTTTTGGGTTTTGGAGGGAATAGGAGCCATTTTGGGTCAGTCCACACAGAGAAGCCTTTCATTCAGGACATAAAACCAAGAGCTCCTGTAGAAAGCTTAGTCTTCTACAGCTTGGCCGGGGATATACAGCCCCATAGCTTGCCCAGAGAGATACAGTCTCAGCACAGTCTTTTGCTGAGGATTTTACAGCCTTTCAGCTCCTTTGCTGAGGGAATCCAGTCCCACAGCACTTCAGCCAGCCATCACTGAAACTTGAACACCTTCCTTTCCCCTGGAAGTCTACAAAGCTCTGCTTGGTAAGGGTCACTCACGGCAGCCAGAAGCAGTTGGTACCGGGTGTAGGGGCTCCACGCCAACAGAGGCAAAGACAGACTGCCCAGATTAGAAGTTAAGGATTTCCCCATTAGTTAATGTATAGTTTATGAAGATGGTGCCTGTTCCCCTGTGGACAAGATTGAGAGAGCCAATAGACTATTAAGAAAGCGTTGAAGTACCTGTTTGATTTCAATAATAAAGAACTTTGTTGAACCTTTAAGCAATCTAAAGACTTTAAGGAAATCCAAAGGTTTTTAATCTGAGGCGTCCTGTCTAGTCTCATGTACAGGCCCAGTGTGCGACAGCACAGTGCTCCATGCAGTCATGCCAGCCACATGACCTTGGAGGTGTCTATGGACAACACTGGCTCTTGAAATGAAGATGAGCACCAACCCCCAGAGTTTGACACGACTAGACTTAATGTCAGGGGAAACCTTTTCCTTTACCTTATTTTATGGTGATGTGTTTTAACTCTGTTGTGCCCGGCCTTGAGCCACGAGAAGTGCTGAGTAACAAAAACAATTTATTGGTGTTGTTGTTGTCAACATTTTTTAACAAAAATGTTGAAATTCAATTTAACTGGCAATACTATGCTGGATGGGCCAATGCGTTCACAACAAGACTTTGAAATTTGCTATTGATTGTCAGTTTTGATGTTCATTCTATACACTATTAAATGTTGTTTTTGTTCTGTTATATTGCTTTTGTTATTATTTTGCTGATATGCATTTTAATGTGTTATGTTTTAACTGTTCTGTTTGGCTTGGCCCCATGTAAGCTGCCCCAAGTCCCTTCGGGGAGATAAAGGCAGGGTATAAAAATAAAGTTATTGTTACATTATCATCATCATCATCATCTAAGAATAAGGCAGTTTTCTATGTTTCTATGTGCATCAAAATCTACCATGCATTTTTCTAGTGTGTTTTCTGAATTCATTGAAGAAATACAGGAAGCCTAAGTACTGCATTACCTAATGTTCATTACTTATTTATAGTCGCCTCTCCTTTTCCTTCCTCCTCCACTTTCATATTCCTCAATTCAAATAGCAAGCTCCTTGGGGACTGACTTTTGTTAATGCTTACATTGCGTTTATGAAGCTTATGATCACAGATAGCACTGTATGGACATCAACAAACAGCCATGAATTGGGTCCAAATGCAGCCCCACCCTGGGACTCCAGCCACAACAGTACCTTCATGTTCGACTCCTGGGACGGAGAGGTCTTCTGTTCCTTGCCAGAGAATTTTTCCAGTTTCGGCATCCCGGAGGTTCATCCAATTTCTGTTTGTGAGGCAGTTAAGGAAAATGCAGCACCCCAAGTTTGAAAGCCCCAGCCCTCTTGCTACACCAAGGACCACATCCCATCAGGCTGAGACTGGCAGTCTGTTAAGGACATGTACACACATATTCGTCTGCCCTATGCACGTCAATGTCCTTTTTTGGACAATGTAATAGTTGGTACAATGTTCCCTCGGTACTTCGCGGTTCACTTTTAGCGGACTCATGGTTTCGCGTGTTTTTGAAAATATTAATTAAAAATATTAAATATTTACGTCCAGTGGAGGCCAAGGAGACCAGGGATCCCAGAAGTGCGGTGGCCTGAGGCACAACAGGAAAGGCCTGCCTCCCTGCCCTCCACAGACCCCGGAAGTGAAACGACTTGAAAGCACACAAAAACAACAACAAACCTATCTCATCAGCCAAAAGCAGGCCCACGCTTCCCATTGAAATACTAATAAGTTTGTATTTATTAAAATTGTACTTCATTTTAATTATTGCATTGTTTTTAAGTGTTTTTGCACTACAAATAAGATATGTGCAGTGTGCATAGGAATTCATTCATGCTTTTTTCAAATTATAATCCGGCCCAACAGTTTGAGGGATTGTGACCTGGCCCTCAATTTAAAAAGTTTGTGGATCCCTGAACTACAGTTTGGAAAAGTTATTTTTGGACTACAGTTCCCATACTTCCCCAGTTTGTCAGAGAGATTCTGGAGCAACAGTCCAAATAAGGAATTGTGCCAAGCTTGGAGGCCCCTGTCACACAGCTGTATAAAATCCAAACTGGGTTATATGCCAGTGTGGACTCAGATAATCCAGTTCAAAGCAGATATTGTGTATTCTCTGCCTCGATTTTCTAGGTTATATGGCTGTGTGGAAAGGCCCTAAGTCAGTTCCAACAATGACCCTCTCCTTTCTCCCTCTCAAATCCTAAATTCTGTCAACTGAAGACACCAAGAAGCAAACCTGGCCTCTTTTTAAAGACTAAACATGCTTTCTTCCATTGAACTGAACTATATAACCTTCCTTCTTCCAAAAGTCCAATGGAAAAAAATAGTGAAAGCACAAGAGTCCTGCAAAAAGAGTATCGACATCACAGAGCTGGTTGCAAATGTAGCTCTCTCGCTCTTTGACAGGAGAAATTTCTCCAGAAATCGCAAACACACCTTAGGAAAGTAACATACAGGATTTGAGGAAAGTGCAAAGCGTCAACATATAGATGCCTACGTGGAATCTCCTAGAAAAGGCAGAAGAAATCTTGGAATGCTAGAGTGAGCAGGTGCTTTCTAGAAGATCCAGTTAGCCGCTTACCTAACTGGGAAGAAGGTCGGCTACTAGAACACGTTATGCCATGCAAGAATTAGACATCCTGAACCAGATCCGCAGGCACCGTTATCTCCTAATGTGTTTAATTGGTTTAGCAGTTCTCCTATCTGAGGAGAAGAAAGGCTGTGGTTAAAAATAGGAAGATCCTTATCTGCAGAAGAGCAGCAGGGACATGCAGGCAGAAGCGAGAAGGCGGCGTTAAGTATGATTAAGTCACAGAGGCCTGAACAGCAGAGCTCTCTTTGAATGGAGTCTGCCAGAAGGGTTTGGATTAAGAGGGAGGAACTATACTACACTTAGGCAGAGAGAAATGAAATGCACAGGTTTAGGAGGGGAGACACCTGGCTTGAAAAGAGTCCATAGAAAGGGTTCTAGGAGTCTTAGTGGACCACAAGCTGAACGTGTCCTAAGAGAGTGATGCGGCAGCTAAAAAGCCAATGAATCAATAGGAAACACAGCATACAAACTATCTACAGACCCACCAAGAAAATCCAACAAATGCTACGTTCAGCAAAGGACAAGAGGGATCCTCTCACTTCTGCAGGAGTCTACCGTGTACCATGCAGCTGTGGACAAGTCTACAAAGTGACCACCAAATGAAGCAATGCCCAAACATGAATCAAGGAACATGAAAGGCACTGCAGACTACTTCAACCAGAGAAATCAGCCAGAGCAGAGCACCTGATGAACCAACCTGGACACAGCATTTTATTCGAGAACACAGAAATGCTGGACCACTCTCACAACCACCATGTCAGACTACACAGAGAAGCCATTGAAATACACAAGCATGTGGACAATTTCAACAGAAAAGAGGAAACCATGAAAATGAACAAAATCTGGCTACCAGTATTAAAAAACTCTAAAATTTCAACAACACAACAACAGAGAGGAAACAAACAAGGACATCTAATTACCTCTCAACAAAAGTTTGCTCCAGGCACACTCAGCCCATTGTATGCTAATCAAGGTGGTCAGTTGAAGCATTCACACCTAGCTCCAGCAGACAAGAGTCTTTTGTCTCACCCTGGTCATTCCACAGATATATAAATCCTTTTCCCTAGTTCCAACAGACCTCACTACCTCTGAGGATGCTTGCCATAGATGCAGGCGAAACATCAGGAGAGAATGCCTCTAGACCATGGCCATACAACCCGAAAAAACCTACAACAACCCAATCAATAGTCTAGTGCAGTGTTTCTCAACATTCCTAATGCCGTGACCCCTTAATATCATGTTGTGGTGATTCCCAATCATAACATTATTTTCGTTGCTACTTCATAACTTTCATTTTTCTACTGTTATGAATCATGATGTCAATATCTGATATGCAGGATGGATTTTCATTCTCTGGACCAAATTTGGCACAAATACTCAATATGCCCAAATATGAATGCTGGTGGGATTAGTGGGGGGAGGGGGGGATTGATTTTGTCATTTGGGAGTTGTACTTGCTGAGATTTATAGTTCACCTACAATCAAAGAGCATTCTGAACTCCACCGACAATGGAATTGAACTCAACTTGGCACACAGAGCTCCCATGACCAAGAGAAAATGCTGGAAAGGTTTGGTGGCCATTGATCTTGAGTTTTGGAGTTGTAGTTCACCTACATCCAGAGAGCACTGTGGACACAAACAATGATGGGTCTGGACCAAACTTGGCACATATACTCAATATGTCCAAATGTGAACACTGGTGGAGTTTGGGGAAAATAGACCTTGACATTTGGGTGTTGTAGTTGATGGGATTGTAGGACACCTACAATGAGCCCCTTGAACCCTACAAACAATGGAATTGGGCAAACTTCCCACACAGAACCCCCATGATCAACAGAAAATACTGTGTTGTTGTAGGTTTTTTCGGGCTATATGGCCATGTTCTAGAGGCATTTTCTCCTGACGTTTCGCCTGCATTTATGGCAAGCATCCTCAGAGGTAGTGAGGTCCTCAGAGATAGCGAGGTCCTCAAATAAATTTTTATTTGACATACATCTCTTTTTTAACATCTATAACAGGGATGGGCCACTGGTATGTCTTGGCTTCCCCACACTAAGAATTTGGGGTGGCATGAAGAGATTGGGGGGCAGGACAGAAGAAGAGATTGGGAAGGACTGCGTTGCCTAGAACTGGACCCAGGATTATTCCAAGTGATGTCTGACCAAAGCAGACACTAGAATCCTATTGATGCATTGGCCTTTTTTTCTAACACACTGAATTCTGTATTAGATGAAAGGGAGAATATAAATAAAATAAATAAAACCCATATTGTTCGGAAAGGTCATCTCCAATTGTAAGATGTTGTTGGGAATAGAAGACATCAGCTGAGAAAGCCAAGATTACACTCTTGTTCAATATGGGCACAACTGAAACAGCTGGAATTTCTAAAGAGCCATTATAATAATGCAAGTAGAAATGTGGTACAGATTACATCTAGTTCCAAATTCAAAGAGTCTAGGTTGTGTGCTAGGCAAGATGGAAATACATGTGCTCCCTGTGGCCTGCTTTTTCAATTTCCGTTTCAAGTAATTTACTGCAATTGCACTGGTCAGAGGAAATGGCGAGGAACGAAAAATCTATCCCCAAACCCAGGCTTCTTAAAGCAGAAAGTCGCTTTACGCGGCACTCTGCCCTTCTTTCCTGTGTTCTAAAGCCCAACGCAGTCTGAATAGATTGTGCCCAAGCAGATCAGCTGCAAAAGAGGAAGTCTGCTTGACCCATGATGGGAATTATATAAAACTCCAGATGTTGCTGTACTGTAATTCCCAGTATTTCTGACCACTTAATATGCTGGTGAAAATGCCTGGATGTGAATAATGTCCACTACTGGAAGGCCACAGGACTCTTACTCAGGGCTTAATGCTTTCTCACCTCAAAATCACCTTCCCCAATTTGTAGGAAAATGTGTGTTGGAGATTTAACCACTCTTTTTTACTCTGCAATTTGAACAAGGCTACAAAAGCTATTTCTGAGCTGGGACAGAGAGAAGAAAGAGGGGATATAAACAAACAGTCTCTTCCTTGTGTTGTCGAAGGCTTTCATGGCTGGAATCAGTGGGTTGCTTTAAGTTTTTCGGGCTGTATGGCCATGTTCTAGAAGCATTCTCTACTGACATTTCGTCTGCATCTATGGCAGACATCCTCAGAGGAAGTCAGGTCTGTTGGAAACTAGGAAAATTGGGTTTATATATCTGTGCAATATCCGGGGTGGGAGAAAGAACTCTTGTCTGTTGGAAGTAGGTGTGAATATTTTAATTGGCCACCTTGATTAGCATTCAATGCTTCTTGGCAGGGGGTTGGACTGGATGGCCCATGAGGTCTCTTCCAATTCTTTGATTCTATGATTCAATGGCCTAGCAGTTTTCAAGGTTTGGCTTCTTACTGCCTAGGAGCATCCTTTGTTGAGGGAGGATTAGCTGTCCTCGATTGTTTCTTGTCTGGAGCTCCACTAGTTTTAGTTAGTGTTATGATTTTAGATTTTTTTAATACTGGTAGCCACATTTTATTCATTTTTTTTGTTTTCTTCCTTTCTGTTGAACATGGCCATTCAGCCCGAAAAACTTACAGCAACCCAGTCTCTTCCTTTCTTGCACTTCTGGTATTAGGAATGGGCACAGCCTTTCCAGACTACATTGGGTATTACAAAATTCAAAGGAAGGAATCCAATGCTTCTCCTC